TCCGGCTATGGAGTGTGTACAGGAACTATGGGATGGACTAGGGCTTCCTGGGATCCTCTGTGACCTTAGCCATGTCTAAATCTCAACTTCTCTGATGAAAAATGGCTATAAACCTTACCCATACATAGAACTATGTCAACATCCAGTAAGTTGATCTTGGAAAATGTTGTTTTTCTTTTTATGTTTTTCCCCCTTTGGGGAATATTTGAGCCAGAATCTTAGGTAGCCCATGTTGGCTCTGAACTTCTGTTTCTTCTACATTCACCTCCTAGCATTCTATGTCTCTCTTTCTCTCTTTCTCTGTATGCATATCTGTGTGTAGCACAGTGTTGATTAATCAACTTTGAATTTCATTCATTCTCTATTGATCATGTGGTCTCTACTTTATCTAAATTGCAGCCTTTGCTATATACATCCTTCTGTCCATCAAAGTGTAAAATCAACCTATTCATTTGGTATCTCTTGTCTTTTTGCTTTTCTTTTTAAAATTTGGTGATCTCTCTTTGTGGTCAAGAAATTCACTATGTAGATTAGGATGGCCTTGAACTCACAGCATTTGTCCTACCTGAGCCTGCAAAGTGTTAGAAATATAAGCATGTCTCACCTCAAACAGCTCATTCCATATATAAATATGGATATATAAATATATTTCTCTTTTATTACTATCTTCATTTCATCTCCTAAACTTTGGTATAAATTGCATTTATCCCTACTGAAAAATATTAGTTCTTTGAGAATTTTGTGGAAAGAGTTTTGATTCTAGTCAGTTCCCTCCACCAAGTCTTCAAAGATCCACATCCTTCTCTATTTACCCAACTCAGTCTGGGTTTTTGTTTTGTTTTGCTTTGTTTTGTTTTGTTTTTTTTTTTGGTAAACCCCTCAAGAACAATTTGTGCTGACTAAATATTCTTTGATGTCAGGAGTGACAGACTAGAAGCTACATTCTTATGAAAAACTGACTCTTCCTCTCCCAGAAGCTAAAAACCCTCTGTAGCTTAGCAGCTAAGGGTAAGATTTAACACCCAACTCCCCTCTCCATGTTGAGATTTATTCTGGCATGAGCTTCTACAGCTCTTGTGTATGCTGTCACAAATCATGTGAGGTGGTCCTTGAAGTCATCACTACCTCTGACTCTTGTACTCTTCCCACTCCCTCTTCCACATGATCCCTGAACCTAGGGAGGAGGGGATGTGATATGAACGTTCCATTTAGGGATGAGCATTCTGTGATCTATTTTCTAAACCTTGGCCAGTTGTAGGTATTAAACATCACCTTCAAAAAGAAGCTTCTCCGAAGACAGTTGAGAGATATGTTAATCTATGAATATAGCATTAAGTCATTGAGTTTAGTACTATGATCATTTAGTAATTCTCCCCTAGGGCCTATGACCTGTCTAGCCATAGCACTGGACGCCCCAGAGTCTGTCAAATGTTGGTTTCATCTTGTGGAATGGGACTTAAATCCAATCAGAGAGTGATTGGTTATTCCCATGATGTTCGTGTCACTATTGCACCAGTGGGCATGTCTAACAAGACTGGTCATGAATGTAACTTTCAGGGCTCACAGCAGGTGATACTAATGATCATTTTTCTCCTCTAGTAACATGCATAGTATTTTCCAGCACTATGAAAGCTAGCCAGGAAGGATGAAGCTTCCAGGTAAACACCATTTTGTTTTCTCTCTGTTCTAGGACTGAAATGTGTGGTGTCTTCATCACTATGGTCTTAACTCTCAAGTTCTGGAGGGTGACCAAGAACATTGGCAATACCTGCATTATTTGGGAATCTGTGAAACATCATTGACTGAAAACTTCAAAAGAAGTAACTCATTCCTAGCTCTGGATTCTTTGTTAGGCTGTGATGTCTAGTAGGTGTATTTTTCCCCATTATATGGTAAATCCTTTTATACTCTTTATATATGAGTGTGTAGGTATAGTTTAGGAAGCTTCTACAATCGGAAGTTTCCACATGACTTTTGCAAAAGGTCTTTAGTGTTATCTTCCCCATATTCACTCCATTACCCTGCCCTCCCGTCACCCACCCAACTTAACCCTCCTTCTTCCATTATTGTCTTATAATACTTTATAACAGGGCAATCTATCTACCTGCATTGAGAGCCCCTCCACATGGACCCTTAGTAATTTCTTGACTTCTATGGCTAAAGCAAATGAAACATACATATATGAAGACTCAAAGCTAACATCAACAGATGAGAAAAAAACATGTGATGTTTGCCTTTCTGGGTCCGGGTGACCTCACTCAGAATGATTGTTTTCAGCTCCATGCATTTACCTGTGAATTTCACAATTTAATTGTTAATAGCTGAATAGCAATGTCAGTTCATAAGTTGATAGGCATATAGGCTGCTTCTAGTTCCTGATTATTGTGAATAGAACAAAAATGAACATGTCATTTCTATTCCTCGTTTTTCCATTGTTGGAGGATGTGTCAGACACAGGTTCTCTATATATAACCCCAGCTATTCTAGAACTCCCTATGTAGACCAGACTGGCTTTGGCTTTAAAACTGCAATTAGTCTCACATCACACACACACACACACACACACACACACACACACACACACACACGCACGCACGCACGCACACACGCACGCACGCATGCACGCACGCGCACACAAACACACACACACACACACACACACACACACACACACACACACACACTTGGTTTCCACATATTTGCAAGTTCTTAGTTATTCTTTCATTATTGGTTCCTAGTATCATTTGCTGTGGTTGAAGGAGATACTTTATGTGATACAAATACTTAAAAAAAAATCCATGTAGGCATGTTTCATGGCCTCACATCTTTTACCCTAACTTGGAGAGAGTTGCTTTATTTTATTCTCCCTCCATGTATGTCTGTACACTATACAAATGCAGTGCTGGAGGATGTCAGAAGATGATACTGCATCCCCTGGATCTAGAATTCCAGCTGGTTGTGAGCTGAGCCACCATCTAGCCATTGGGTATCTACCCCTGCTCCTTTAGAAGAGCAGTCAGTACTCTTACTCACTGAGGCACCTCTCTACTCCCCAGGTTCTTGTGTTTATTTTAAAGATGTATTTTTATATTATGTGTAAGGGTGTCTTGCCTGGATGTATGCATACGTAGCACATATATACCTGGGGTCCATGGAGTCCAGATGTTCTGGAACTGAAGTTACAGACAGTTATAACCTGGCATGTGGGGGCTGCAGCCTAAACCTGGGCCATCTGGAAGGATAGCAAGTGCTCGTAACAGTTGAATCATCTCTCTGTCCCCTGTTTGTTGTTGTTGTTGTTTGTTTTGAGATAGAGTTTTACATAACCTGAGCTGGCCTTGAACTTTTGTATACCTGAAGAGACCTTGAGAAGACCCCTGCCTCTACCCACCATGTGCTGGGATCACGGACATACACCACCATGCCCTAGAAAATGTACTATGCACTCTTTTTTATGACAAATTGTTTATTATACACATACATACTTCTAATGTCAAGGAACAAAAGACAAAATGTCTTTTGGCCAGAGCATTTCATTTTTACAATTCAGAATTTTTCTAGCTGGTAAATTTTGATGTTTAAACTTTCCCAATAGGAGAAGATTCCCATTTTTTAAACAGGTTTATACTTTAATTTTTTATTTTTTTTATTTTTATTTTTTTAGCTTATATATATGTATATATTTATATTTATTTATATAAAAAGAGCAATAATGGCAATATGTTATGCATCAATAGCAGCAACAGCTTTTCCAGGTTCTGTAGTCCTTTGAACAAAATTGTAGAGACATCCAGCACACTCCATTTTTAAAAAAACAAAAACAAACAAAAACAACAAACAAACAAACAAACAACAACAAAGTAAAAAACAAAATCCCAGAAGACAGCACAGTTCTGTTACTCTTGTTATACTTGGCACCATTTTTTTAAAAAATTAGTTTCTCAGTCATCATCTGGGAGGAAACCATTCTGAGCAACATCATTAAAAACAGCTCTGATAAATCACGGTCACTACTGTGTATCATAAAGCAGGCCCACATATGAGTGAGTACATATCATGTTTGTCTTTTTGTGATTGGGTTACCTCGCTCATAATGGTTTCTTCGAGTTCCCTCCATTTTCCTGCAAATTTCAAGATTCCATTGTTTTTTTCTGCTGAGTAGTACTCCATTGTGTAAATGTACCACAATTTCTCTCTCTATCCATTTTTCGGTTGAGGGGCATCTAGGTTGCTTCCAGTTTCTGGCTATTACACTTAATGCTGCTATGAACATGGTTGAACAACTATGCACTCTTAACAAGGCTATGTATTTTACTGTCATTAAGTGTAGTGATTTGTATATTTCTATTAGATTACCTGGTTTATGGTGCTATTCAAATCCTTTATTTACCCTGGATGTGGCAGCACATATCTGAAATCTTAGCAGTTTAGATATATAAGCATGATGATGGTAAATTTACCACCAGCCTTAGCTAAATTCCAGCCATACTGTAGAGAACCTACCTCCAAAAAAAATTATTTCCATATTTATTTTTTGTCTAGATGTTCTGTTATTGAAAGTAGGATATTGACTCTTCAGTATGATGAGGACAGGAAGTACCTGCCCTGCTAAGAATATCATCAGATCCTATTGACCTTTTCACCTTCTTTGACCCTTCAAGCTTCTGAATAAAATCATTTGACTTAAAAAAATAAAGTGATTTGAGTCTTCTGTTAATATAGCAGAACTGTGTGATTCTCTTCTCAGGTTTCTCATTTTTATACTTGGAGGATTCAGTTGTTTATTTAGATATGATTATAAATTCTATGTATTCTTTGGTTATTTCTTTTGAAAGATGGTCTCACATAGCTCGGCCTTGAACTCATTATATATCCTTGAAATCCCGATCTTACTGCCTTCAGCATACAAGTGTGAGAATTATAAGTGTGTAGGCACCATGGTTGGCTATTGTGTGTTATTTATGAATTTTACTTGCCCACATATAATTTTATTCTTTATCTTTTTTTAGGCATCATCAGTTTATTATAAAAGGGAGGCACAGAAATTATTTACATGATGAATAGTTCAGAATGTCGGCGGAATGGGCAGCTTCATGTGATACCATTTCAACAGTGATTTCAGTCCGTATATTTTCCAAGAATGTCAGCATCTCTAAATAAGAAATAATCCTTGCCGTCTAGAACTACTTTGGTGCCTCCATATTCTGGGAGAAGAACTTTGTCTCCAACTTTCACACTGACTGGCTGAATCTCTCCACCCTTTTCTTTCGAGCCTGATCCCACAGCCACTACTGTTGCTTGCAATACTTTTCTTTGAGACTTTTCTGGAAGCATAATGCCACCTTTGGTCACAGTTTTGGCGGCACTCCTTTCAACCAATACTCTGTCAAAGAGCGGTAGAAACTTTTTGAAAGCTTGTCCAGCCATGACTCGCGCCGCCGCAGCTCAGACTCTGCACTCGGGCCACCGCTGCAAGGAGAGTCTATTATTTATCTCTTATAGTAGGTTTTGATTTGTTTGTTGTAAATGGAGGGGGTGCTTTTGCTTCCCAGTTGCCCAGTCCCGAATAATCACACAAAAACTTAATATGAATTACAAACTGTTTGGGCTAATGCTCAGGCTTATTGCTAACTAGCTCCTACTTTTAATTTTCCATTAATTCTTATATTTCCAAGTGGCTTGTGGCTTTACCTGTGGTATAGTATATCTTGCTGCTCTGGCAGCTGACTGGTATCTGCCCCTGACTCTGCCTTTCTTCTTCCTTTATCCCTGCATGGATTTCCCACATAGCTATATTTTGCCTTGCTATAGGCCAAAGTAGCTTTTATTATCAACCAATGAGAGCAACATATATTCACAGCATACCAAGAAGGGTTATCCCACAACATTTTTGTTCTTTATCTCTCATAGTAGGTTTTGATCTCTTTATGTTTTTGAGGCAGGGGTTTACTTTGTAGCCTGTGCTAGAGTCAAACTCATAATATTCCTGTTTCAGCCTCCTAAGTGCAGGGATACAGTCATACCCCATCATATGCAGCCTTATCTTTTTATTAATACATTTATAGTATATCTTCTTGGCTTGGGAATGTATCTCACTGGTAGAATTTCTGAATTGTGTGATGATTAGTTTTAACTGTCAACTTGCCACAACCTAGAATCATTTAGGAAGAGAGTCTCCATGAAGGACTGTTTACATCAGGTAGTTTGTGGACATGTCTGTGAGGGATTGTCTTAAATGTCCTAAGTAATATAGGAGGACCCACCTTATATGTGGATGGCATCTTCTGCTAGTTTCTCAGATACAAGAACATGGAAATATGAGTTTTTAGCTTTTTTATTTTGTTTATTTGCTTCCTTATCTTTACTCTCACTGTCCAGTTCACCTTCATTTGCTGCTATTACTGATTACTTTGCTAATACCAAAACTCTCTTTTTTGGGTTTCCAACATCAACTGAAGACCAGCAGCTCTACAGGAACTGTTCAGGCCTTTGCCACAGATTGGGACAGCTGAGGTACCCAGCCTCACAAACTCAACAGCTACCAGATTCTCAGCCTCTCTGAAATAGCCACTGTTGTACCAGCTGTATCATTTCTTTTTCCTTTAAAGAACCCTTTCTAGGAGCCCAAGAGACTTTCAAAATGATATAGTTGTTGCCTTTGGTTGCCTGCCAGAGGCTGACGGTATGTCTTTGTTACTGAAGAAGCCATGTGCTACAGACATAGGAGTTGGAGGAATCAAACTGGAACAGATCTGGAATCCTCCTCCCTGAGGACTAGCTCTCATAGTATTTGAAGAAGATATTCAAGAATACAAGAAAGAAAAGTAATCAATAGTATTACCCAGCTGTAGGGTCTATGAACCACAATGATGATCAGAATGGCAAATTATTCTGAATGGTGCAATAGTGGCACTCATCTCCTCGGGGTAACCAACAGCTACCTAATTGGACTCAAGGCCCACTCAATAGAAGGGAATTCAGTTCTGGTACTGTGACTCTCAGAGAACCTACTACTGCCACTTTATTAGACTATCAGAATTCTTCACTGAATTACAAATACTTATTCTTAATTCCACACGTAGGTGTAGTTTTCCCCTCATATCAAAGAAGCTTCTTTTTGAAGCATATGGAGACTAGTACCGAAAGTCACAACTGGTCAGAAAACAACTGAATATGGGAATGCTGAGCCCCAATTGATACATCTATAACACAACCCCTACATTTGAGGCTCAGAGAATATTGTGAAAAGTGGGGAGAAAGATTGTAAGAGTCAGAGGACCAAGACATCATATATACATCAGATATACACAGAGATATAGATATAGATAGTTTTCTATATATGACAGGAAAGTTTCAGTCATGAAATCTCAATAATACACTTGCCTAAATAAGACCTACACAATGACACCAGTTGACATATCTATGTGAATGGGAGAAGTCTCACAAGGTCCTACCCCTAGATGAAGAGCTACAAGAAATTAATAACTTGGGAGAGGGAGAATCTGTCTTCTACAGGACATGCTCCTTGATAGGTTATTTACTCTGTGTGTGTGTGTGTGTGTGTGTGTGTGTGTGTGTGCAACAATAATAAAGAAGAGGTCATAAATTTGAGACAAAGTGGAGAAGATATGAGGAATAGTTAGAGGGATAGGTGGTTGGGGATAAATGATGTAAATTCAGTACTCATGCACAAAATCCTCAAAATAAAAATTTAAGAATCTTAATACACCTAACATGTGGCTTCAATCTCCACTACTGTTAAGTAAAAAACAAACTATATATTCTTCCAGACTTGCTTCAGCTATTTTCCTGTTTTCTTTCTTTTTCTTTGTTAAAATTATATATCTTCATTCATTCATTCATTCATTCATTGTGTCAGTTCATATGTGTGGGTGAGTGAGTGAATGTACATATAGCATGATGTAATATAGAGGTCAGAGGGTAACTCTATGGAGTCTGTTCTCTCTCTCCACTAGTTAAGATCCAGAGATCACACTCATTGTTCAGGCTTGGTGGCAAGAGTATTTACCTGCCAAACCATCTGGTCAGTCCTATTTTTAAAAATATTTTTGGTGTGTATGTACGTGTGTGTGTGTGTGTGTGTGTGTGTGTGTGTGTATGTGTGTGTGTGTGTTAATGGCAACTTTCAGGAGAAGGTATGCTCTTCCCATTATGTGGGTTCTGAGGCTTGAGCTAGTGTTTTCAGGCTTGACACCATGTAGCCTAACCCACCAAGCCATCTCACTGTCACACACGTTCTCATGTTTTTGTTTAGATCTTTAAAATGTGAAATACAGTACTTTTATAGACTTTTTCTAGGGAGTTTAATATTTGGATTTTTCTCAAAAATGATTGCGATGGATTTGTTGTTTCTTTTGTTTTGTGATAGTATATTTTGTTTTGCCTGGAATGGTCTCAAACTCCCTCTTGTGTTAAAAAAGTCCTCACGTCTCAGTCTCATATAGCTGGAAACACAAATATACAACATTGTGCTCACCTCAATTTAACTGATAAAATTAACCATAAAATTCAATCCCTTTTTATTTTCCTTTCTTTTTTTATGATACTAATACCTCAGGACTTTGAATAAGCTGAACAGTTACTCTAACAGTGAATACCTAGCTCTCTTTCGCCAGTCTATTTCTTTTTCCCTTGCTTTTTAAAAATTATATGTTTCAGCAGCTTTCAGTATATGCCCAGATTTCTATAACCATTACCAATATGTAAATTTGAAATAGTTTCATCACCCCAAGAAGCCCTGTTTATATTCATAAACTGGACATAATCATCTATACCTGTAATTCCATCACCTAGAGGATAGAGGCAAAAGTTTAAAGTTATCCTCAACTATATAACAAGTTCAAACTACCAATAATAAATACAGAAATAAAAAATACAACTGGAGAGCCAGGTATGGTGGCCTATGCTTATAATCCCCCAATCATGAGGTAGAAGCAGGGGGGGTGGGGGGGAAGGGAGGATATCAGGAGTCCAAAGCCCATTTGAGCTGCATGAGACTCTGCCTTAAACAAACACATAAAATTAAATGAAGCCAAGTGTAATGGGTCACATCAATAAGCCCAACACTTGGATCACCATAAGGTGGAGACCAAATGGGGCTATAAACTAAGCTCTAGCACAGCTGGGCTACAGAGCAAGACCCTGAGTCAGAAAACAGAAATAAGGCTGGGCATAGTGGCACATCCCTGTAATCCCAGCACTCAGAAGTTTGAGGCCAGTCTGGGTTACATAGTGAGCTCCAGGTTAGTCAGTCATATAGAGTGACATCCTTTCTTTCCAAATAATAATACTAAAGGCTAGACATCACTGTAGTGATTGCATATAATCTTAGCATATGGGAGATGGAGACAAAGAATCAGACATACAAGGTCATTGCATTTTCTACAGTGGTGTATCTACTACAAGTTTAGATACAAACTCCCACCTACACTCCTGTAAACAAGCCTAATGAAACCCATTGAGTCGCACATATACAAAAAAAAACATGAAAGAAAGTATAATGAAGCTAGTTGTGAAAATAAAGAGGTTAGTAAAAAATGGAAGGAGGCAAAAGAGAGTAATGGGGTGTTGTGATGAAAAAGGCATTATATACATGTATGAAAACATTATAATGAAGCACATTATTATGTATAATTGATTTACATTAGTAAACTCATTGAAAACAAAAAGTAAGTTCATTATCATCTTTGACTATCATGTGAAGCCAGCCCAGGCTATATGAGGCCCTGTCTCAAAATATAGGGTTCAATGAAAGGTGGGATATGTGTTGGAAACTAATCCCCAGTGCAACGTCATTAGGAGGTGAAGCCTAATGAGAATTGATTAAGCCATGTAAGCTCTGCCATCATGGATAGATTAATGACATCATTGTGGAAATGATTTTGCTATAATAGGAGGAGTTTTGGCATTCTTATCCTGTCTCCTTTGCCCTTCTTCCATGGGTAATATAATGACTCTTAATTTTGTATTTCACGGCCTCCTGAATCCACAAGTCAATAAAGTGTTGTTCATTATAAATTACCTGATCTGAGAATTCCAAAATAGGAACATGAAATGGACTAAAATAAGGTTGATAATACTCTAGTTGCAGTATAAGAAACTGTCAGAATGTGAGGGTACTTGCTTGCAATCCTATCACTTGGGAAGATGAGGCAGAAGAATCAAGAGTTCTAGGATAGCCTATGCTACATAGGGAGACTGTTTCAAAAAAGAGACAATAAAAGGAAGAAACCTCCATGGTGGGAGAGAGGTGGGGAGACAATGTAGAAAAGATAACTGTTAAACTATTTTATAATTAGTGTTTTATTATTGTACATTCACACTAAAGACCTACGAATGACTCTGTTTCTTTGTATTTTTGGTTTTATTTGTATTTTTCTTTTTATTTTAGCCACTCTGACAGATGTGTCGTGATGTCTACTGTGTAACCTGAATTATTTCAATGGGACTTGGGCTA